GAATCTACTCTGGAGTAGTTGCATTCTTGACTATAATGCTTAAATTTATTCCATATCGGATGAGACTTTGTATGACTTTCTAAGCAAGTTATCTAATTTGTTCTTATGGTGCCCTTTTTAAGGTGATTCTTCATGCTTTGTAACCATGTATTGAGCTGATATTATTGTTTCAGGTCCTTCATCGCAAAGGCGAGATCAATGCCAATCTAGATAAAGAGAGGAGAAAGAACAGAGAAACTACTGGTGCACAATTTGTAGGTTTTCTTTCTGCTAGGGCGTTTTGAGACAGCTCCAAACTCATAATGGGCTTTTCTCAAAATCTTATAAATTCACCAAATAGCGCATGTAGGCAACTGCGAAAGCTAAGGAGCGTGCTGCATGGTTTACGGACCTCGCGCGGGGAAAAGCTCTCTCCCAGCTTGCGAAGAAAGTTCCGACCATCAAGCGGCGGGAAGAAGGATTGGAATATCTATGCGACTACAGGTACATTCTCCCTTTTCACTATAACTGAACGAAGCTCGATTTTATATTTATCAGAATACCCTCCTTTCGGGCGTTATGGTACCTCAAAGTTACTGCTGCTCTCACTGGAAGCCCTAGTACTGCAAAGCAAAAGAAGTCTATCAGTGACCTTTTTTCTGCCGGTATTGGTTTCGAATCAATTCGCGTTTGGGGGATGATCAATCTGATTTATTTTCAGAGTACAAGGACATTTTCGTTAAAGCAATCAAAGAACTGACCAATCGAATGTGGGACGTGAACGATCTGTCAGCTTGTCCTATTTATAAAGAACGCTGGCTTTATATATCGAATTTGAGCAAATGCGCATTTGAGGTCAGTAGTTTAAAAATTGTCTTCACATTTACTATCTCTTGGAACGAAGTTTCCCAGTTTCACTAGCTGTGATTAAGGATGGTGTGATCGAAAGACAAGATTTCCTCAATGAATTATGCGACATATTTTCCGATTACTTCGTGAGAAGGATAAAAAACGAAGAAAAGTTACCGCAGCTGAGGTATCTGCATGATCCTCCATTGCATTGAGTAGCAACTGTTTATGTACTTCAGGGTGTATCTGTTATTCCTTACCCAGTTTTTGCGGCATATCAACAATAATCTCATCCTTGCTCGACGACTAGCCCACATGATTGCTATGAAGCTGCGATTGTACAAAATGGAGTACGACGAACAGAACAACACGTGAGTTCACTCCTCGCTTTATTGTCTTTGCTTCATTTTACTGTTTTACATCGTATATTTTTTAAAGCTAGGAAATAGTGTTTTGTTCATTTTTAAAAATAGTGATATAATTCAACGGAATTCATTCGAATCTTTATTTCGATGTAAATCTATTATAGGCAGAAATTTGAGCCGTTGTAGATACCACAGGTTTTGCTCTTTCAATTTTCTTTTATCATTCCATATTTGTGCTAGTGCATTTATTTTGTCTCGATTTTCTCTATTCACTGGAGCACATACTGTACCAAGTGAAATATGAGCAACTAGTTTTCCTTTATAGCTGTGTTCAAGAGCTCATTGCT